TTTTGGTTTGTTAGAGTGGAGAGACCCTATCTCTCTTTCCTCGAAAAATGGAATTCCGTGTGGGCTTTACAAAACCACAGCACGTAAGGTCACACAGAGCACGCTGCACATATAAACTTTCACAATCACTGGAAGGACGTAATAAACCATTTTGATACACATTAGGGTGGATAGAATAATACATAGTGTTATATTAAAATGTATAAGGTATAGGTTTATAGCAATACAGTATGTAATTTAATGTTGGGTTTGCCTATGGCAGTATATAGTACGGTATAGACGCGTGTGATGTAAGAGAATAAAGTTTAGATGGAAGCATATTATATAATTTTTTACAACGTAGAAATTTTTTTATGTATTACTTACTGTTAGTAACTCAGCTTATTGTAGAGTATAGTAAGTATACTGATGATGCTATGTAGTTTATACTTTAGTTTGTTATGCAGTTTATACTTTAGTTTTTTACGTGGTTGTTTAGTAACTGCAGCTACATACTATTAACATTCCTTTCCTTTGTTAATGCTACCCCCCTCCCCCCCCTTTGATGCTGCTAATCCTGCATAATGCACGGGCATAGTATTGATTTGGAACCCCCCCCGCCCACCTCCTACGCATTTTCCATATGCTGAATTCCTCTTGATATGCAAATTATTTTGTTTAGGCGCTCTTCTTCCCACCTCCCCCCCTCTAACCCAGCTTAAATATACGCTCCAAGCTTGGTGGTGTTTCATTCTTCGCCTGAGGACGGCTGCTTGCGTTGTGGCTGAAACGTCGTGAGAATTGTTTTATTATGTTTTTTATTTTATTACTTCCCTTCTACGTGACTTTACCGAAAGAACCAAGAAGATTTCACTCACACGTACAGGAAGATGCTCTCAGGCTGAAACACACATATACCGTACACAAGAATTACACGTGTGTTGGACACAGGAAAGATATTTGTTGGACACAGAGGCACAAGGGGACATAATTCACTGGTCGTGGAGACGCAGAGGAGACGTTGTGCTCTCGGTCCACATGCAGCATCCGCATTTTGAGACACACACACAGACCAGGGGGGTAGACAACCTTTGTACAGGTGACACGGACAGACAGGACAATCTATAGCGAAGTTTAACATGTGGCAGGCTTTCGCGACCAATATTATTCATAATCAACGTTTTTGGGTTAGATCGTGTTATTTACAAATGTGTCGTAACCCTCCACCACCCGACACGGCCAATCAGCAAAAAAAGTGTCACGTTGACAAAAGACAAATAGTTCACTGCTTTAGCCCACCCGGTGTGTTGAAGCATGAAACCACAACAATTAATTTTTTTGAGTAGTACGACGTTTTGCTGGTAATTGCATCCAGCCTCATCTGGCAATTCGCCAGAATGGCGAGGCTCTGCTCTTGCTCCCGGTCTTAAATAGAGCAGCAGCAGCAGTGAACTATTTGTCTTTTGTCAACGTGACACTTTTTTTGCTGATTGGCCGTGTCGGGTGGTGGAGGGTTACGACACATTTATAAATAACGCGATCTAACCCAAAAACGTTGATTATGAATCTATAGCGGAGACAACAAGAAGCGCCAATTCGCCACCAAGTGGCGGTGACTTTGCCAGGGCAATTGTGCCAGGCTAGGTGCACTCTGAGGCCACGTGAAGTTGTCGAAGGTTCGCTGGCAGGAGGTCACGGTGCGATGGGTTGACTGAGGTGACTGGCAGAGGGCACATGAAGTACACACACAAGGCACAGCTGGACTGGACAGAGGTTACACAACCGTGCTGTAGAGACACACACACAGATGGCCCAGTATAATTCACTGGCCTGGACTTTTGCAGCTGTTTTAGACTAATTTCAGGGTGCTGATTCCAAATCTGATCTCAGATTTGCTCTATCACATCTCATTTTTATGCTATCGGCATACCCCATTTTCATTGATTTTACCCGAAATTAACTCTGTCACTTATGATTGCAAGTTGTTGCGAGTCAGTGACTGCTTTAGTGTTAAAATATGGTGCTGTATTTTTTGGATAGTGTGTTTATAATATCATTTAATGTAGATATCCACATTTATTTAATATTTTTCTTCTACAGTTTTTATTGAAAATGCGATATTTGATATCTCAAAAACCTGATGTGATAGACAAAAACTGATGTCAGATTTGGAATCAGCACCCCAAAATTACATTAGAACCGTTGGAATACCTTATGCCAGAAAAAGTGTGTTGACCAGTATAATCTTCCACGTAGAATTTAACAACCACTCACAACGTAAGCGAAATTACACGTTTTAAAAACTAAAACTAAGAGCAGAGGTTAATGAATAACAATGGGAAAAAGTGAAACTGTGAGCCAGGAGAGTTTACAGGTGATGTGTGTGTGTCTGAGTGGGGAGCGGTGGTGTAGCGGTTAGCACTGCGAAACGTGGGCTACCAAACGAGCAGCGAAGGTTTATCTGAGCCGGGTCCTGGGCATCTCCCCTAGGTCGACTCGGCCTTAAATTAGTACCTAGTGCGGTGTGCCAACATCGTCACGAGGGATACAAATGGTGATTATTGTCCACCCTTGGCACCGACGTTTCGACCTCCATGGGTGTTCACTAATAGCACTTGTCCATAGTCTCAGCAAAGGCTATGCGGGGGAGCTTTGTCTTTGTGTCACCCGTTTTGCTTATCCATAATTTGTAGCAATGTATCCTGCCCAAGCTTACTTTTATTTGTTTAAAAATAAATACCGTGTGTCAATACGCATGTCTTCTCTTATCCATACATGAACACTTTAATGATAATACTTCCAAGCATGCGTTGTCATGCTTTGCGCAGTTTCCTGCTTTTGTTCCATTTTTTTCTGTTTTCAATCCAAAGTCATGGAAGGTAATATGCACGATAAAAAAAACTTTCCTCTAAAAAGAGAGAGAGAGCGAGAGGGGTGGTGATGGTTGTGGTGGTGGTGATGGTGATGATGATGGTGGTCGTGATGGTGGTGGTGATGGTGGTCGTGGTGGTGATGGTGGTCGTGGTTTTGATGGTGGTGGTGATGGTAGTGGTGATGATGATGATGATGGTGGTGATGGTAGTGGTGGTGGTGATGGTGGTTGTGGTGGTGGTGATGGTGGTGGGGAACAGAGAGAGAGAGAGAGTAGGGCGAGGAAGGTAGAGAGATAGGGAAGGGGTAAGGAGAGGGAGCAGAGCATGCTTCTTCGTGTTGATGTTTGTGTCTACGAAGAAAGTAGCACAGATTGATTTGGTTGCACAATGGTAAAACACGTAAAATCTTTCATTTAATAAGTAATATGTGGCACATTAGGAATGGATCACTCTTTTAATTATATCCTTGTGCAGCAAGGGAGTAAAGTGTGGTTCTGTGAAGGTCCCCTGATGTGCTGTGCAGTGCATCAATGCATGTGTGTACAGCAGCATGTTATGACTGAGTCGGGTCTGTAGGTGGCTGGCAGGGTTATTAAATGACCGCACGTGTAAACCAGCCACGTGGTTCATGGCGTCTCGGAAGAAGTGCTGCGTCTAACACGTGCTGTTGCATTTTACAGGTAAAGGACCCTAAGGTTGTTTTTGATCGTTATATAAATGCTCTAGACTTGTTCTAGACTTTAAGCTTGGCTTTGAATTGTTCGTTTGTGATATATGCAATTAGAGGCGTTTTAGCACTGTGCACTGTAATTAGTTACTGTCATTGTAATTCTCTAACTCTAAAACTGTTTAGTCTATAACCATGCCCATGTACCCAGAGTATGACTACTTGCAATGCTATTGAGAATAGAACACATGTAAAGTAGTAAGCTGTACAATGGTGAGATACAGTACGTATACTGTACACATACAGTACATATAATGGGTGTAATATACCGATATAAGTGGATGGTATAGATAGACATACAGCTTAGGATTAAAGTAATAGTCGAATAGTGATGTGCAAATGTGATTGTCAAAGACAAGGATGGTTTATAAGTAGTAGAATTGGGTTTAAGAGGCAGGGTTAATGAATAACCGCACGTGTAATCCAGCCACATGGTTAATGGTGTCTCGGAAGATTTGCTGCGTGTAACACACGTGCTGTTGCATTTTACAGAGTGACGGTGCGGTTTCTTCACAAGATGAATATTAACCACAATAAATAAATGTGCTTGCCCTCGATTTGGAGCACCTGCCCACGTCCTTAATTTCGAGTGTGCAACAAATATTTAAAAATACTTTTCTTTTTTAAACACGCTTTAATGAAATGTACCGTACTAGTAGTATAATGGCAGGACTCCACGACTACAAGAAATGGTCCCGAGGCTTGCCATAACGTAATGGACCGTTGTGATTCACAGCCAACGTTAGTTGAGCGTGGGCAATTAGAGCCAAGGCGAAACCTAACATGTAAAAAATATTGTTTTACATTTCTTTGATAGAATATAGTATTGTCATCAGTATGACATAAGTATACAACGTTTGCAGTCGATACCACATTTGGAAGTGGCTTAAAATAGAGTTACAAGATTTGAGGATACGACAACAACAGAGTGAGTTAATAGAAAGCGTGTAAAAAGATTGTTTAAAAAATATTTTAATGCTAGAATATAGTATTGTCATCAGTAAGACATAAGTATACGAAGTTTGCAGTCAATACCACATTGGGAAGTGGGTTAAAACTAAGTTACAATATTTGAGGATACAACAACGACAACAACAGACAGAGTGAGTTAAATAAAAGCGTGTAAATAAAAAAACGAAACTATAAACGAAGCAAAGTGCCGACTAAAACCGAGCATCATCTTGTTTTCTCTGATCGTAAAAAAAATAGAGGGGTGAGGGGGTGAGAGGGAGAAAGCGAGAGAAAGAAAGGAGGAGGAGGAAGAGGGGGAGGAGGGGGGAGAGGAGGAGGAGGGAGAGGGAGAGGAGGGGGAGGGAGAGGGGGAGGAGGGGGGGAAGAGGGAGGGGGTGGGAGAGGAGGAGGAGGGAGGGAGGCTCCTCCCAGCCACCCTCTCCACTGCGAGCCCGTGACGTCGTGGGAGCTTTAAATGCCCTCGCCACCGCCTCCGTGACGTCCAGACGAGGCAAAGACACCACCGGCCTTTACGTCGCACAAAGAGGAGGAGGAGGAGAAGAACGAAAGAACCATTATCGTCACATCCTCGTCTATTTGTTGTGTCCCACATCATCATCATCATCGTCGTCGTCGTCGTCACCAACCACGACCATCACCAAATCCAACGACCTCGCGCCGGTGTTGTCGTCTCGTGTTGTCATCCTCTCGGCTGCCTGCTGCTCTGCCCCCCCCCCCCCCCCACACACACAGCTACACACACATACACACACACACACAGCCACACACACACACAGCCACACACCACCTCATCTCTCGTCGTCACTGCCACTTGGAGAAGCAAGCGAGCGAGGGAGGGAGGAAGAGACGTGGAGTGGGGGGGGAGTCACAACAAGCCAGGCCGGGAGGCAGCAGCAGCAGCAAGAGGAGGGAGGGAGGCTCGGGCTGACAGCACTGTAAGTGGCCCCCTCGGGCACACACACACACGTACAGACACACACTGACACACATACACACACACGTACAGACACACACTGACAACACACACATACACACACGTACAGACACGTACAGACACACACTGACACACATACACACACACGTACAGACACACACTGACAACACACACATACACACACACGTACAGACACGTACAGACACACACTGACAACACACACAGAGACACACGTAGACACACACAGACACACACACTGACAACACACACTGACAACACACACACACAGAGACACACGTACAGACACACACACAGAGACACACACACACAGAGACACACACACACACAAAGACACACTGACACACGTACACACACTGACACACGTACACACTGACACACGCACAGAGACAAACAGAGACACACACACAAAGACACACACACACAAAGACACACTGACACACAAAGACACACTGACACATGTACAGAGACACACACACAAAGACACACTGACACACGTGCAGAGACACACACAAAGACACACGCACACAGGCACACACACACATTCACAAAGACACACAAACATACACCGGCACAAAGAAAAAACACGCAAAAACATACACTGGCACACATATACACACACACAAAGACACACTGACACACAAATACACACGGACACACATACACGCGCAGACACATACACACAAACATATACTGACACAAAGACACACACGCATTCACAAAGACATAAACATACACTGGCACACATACACACGCACAGACGCATACACACAGACACACTGACACACACATACATACAAAGACACAGTCACACACAAATACACACTGATACACACGCATACACAAAGACACATACATACAAACACACACAGACGCAGACACACTGACACACAAAGACACATACATACAAACACACAGACGCAGACACAAAGACACATGCATACATACAAACACACAGCCGCATACACAAAGACACACACAAACAAACTGACACATAGAGAGACACGCATACACACAAAGACACACTCACACACATACACAACGACGCATACACACAAACAACAAAGACAAAGATACACTGACACACACAAAGACGCATACACACAAACACAGACATTCATACACACATAGAAATAGACACGTACACAGACAAGCATACACTGACAAAGACACACATACAAAGACACATACTGTGACATACATAGAGTACAAAGACATACACAAAGACACAGACACAAATATTTGTAAAACACACACACACAAAGACGACGTGTACTAACTAGCACAGTACACACAAAGACAAAGGACAGGCACACAAACACCAAGACATCAACAGAGACGCTGCAATCTCACAGTTACCACAGACGCACATTTTTTGTTAACAATAACAACAACATACACGGATGATGGTGAAAGTGCTGTTGGCGAGCACCTATTAAGGGCCTTGCCCACAGCGACACACGACCCCGAACACCGCCTTTGTCTCCCCGTGGCTAATGTCTCTACGTCGAGGATGAGTGTGTGTAAGTCGAGGCTGAGTGTGTGTAACTCGAGGCTGAGTGTGTGTAAGTCGAGGTTGAGTGTGTGTAAGTCGAGGCTGAGTGTGTGTAAGTCGAGGCTGAGTGTGTGTAAGTTGAGGCTGAGTATGTGTAAGTCGAGGCTGAGTGTGTGTAAGTCGAGGCTGAGTGTGTGTGAGTCGAGGCTGAGTGTGTGTAAGTCGAGGCTGAGTGTGTGTAAGTCGAGGGTGAGTTTGTGTAAGTCGAGGCTGAGTGTGTGTAAGTCGAGGCTGAGTGTGTGTAAGTCGAGGGTGAGTTTGTGTAAGTCGAGGCTGAGTGTGTGTAAGTCGAGGCTGAGTGTGTGTAAGTCGAGGCTGAGTGTGTGTAAGTCGAGGTTGAGTCTGTTCGCTCGCCACCGACGTTCGCTCTCCTTGGACCGTGGAATCCAACTCAGGCTGGGCCGGGTTCCTTGTAGCGCAGCACCACCGTCGATTTACCACCAGCGCACATGAACGTAGTATACGCGATATGATAATTGTTTACACCACGAATACTATGCCCCTCGACAGCCTTAACAGACTGTTGGGGCAAGTGGGTTGGGGGTGGATGGTGGCCAGCAACACACCCTTTGTCTCCCCACCCCCCCCAAGTTGGCGATGTTTACACCACTGCCACTAGGTACTCATTTGAGGCTGAGTCGAGCTAGGGGAGGCCCGGGACCGGTTTGGATAATAGTCGGCGGTGTCGACCGTGAGCTGGGATCGAACTGGGGGTGACGGGTTCGTAGCGCAGCGCGCTAACCACTGCGCCACCGCTCCTCAATTGTACACTAAACATGCACTACCTTTAACAGAGTCTTAACTGCTTCGACCACACACAAAGACACGTCTTACGAGAACATGCTATACACATGCATGCAAACATTACAATACAACATTATACACGGGTACACACACACGGTAATACCCATCCATGTATTGCAGACAAACATACACCGAGATTAATTCACGTCCGGTTAGTACATCCTTTGTTTTGACACAAGTAACCCGTACACGTGCCACCACATGTTTCTGTTGTGTATTCGTGTCCGTGTTTGTCCACGTGTGTCAAGCGAGTGTGTGCCGGTGTGTGGTTAGCATGGCACCTCTGCCAATGCTGCCGCTATGTTTCAAATATCTACGCTTGGTGTAGCACTGAATAATACTGTACCGGATTCAATGTCAGATGCAAAGCAATATGTATGCCAAACATGCACACGCGTGCAGCATATACAAGAATCGCACCTCCGGTTAGCACGGTTGGTTATGTACGGTGCGAAAGAAGTTCAACATACATACACAACAACATGACGACACATACCGTACACGAGGACCCAAACAATACACAAATGCCGATGACAGCACAGCTGCTTAAGCACGGAAATAGACACAACACGTGCCATACACACACACACATACGGGGAAGAACACATACTCATACCTGTCAACCCCTTATCACAGACCAATTCAGACCGTATTGGGTCACCCCGTGCCTCTTATAAATCTCAACGTTCATCCAACAAAATCCCATCACAAGAAAGAGAAACGCAAACAAATATACAACACATTGTTTTTGCCCGCATTGAAACGGCTGCATGTCCCTGTAACACGAATACGGGGTGAACCCGTACGGGTGGTTGACACGGCACGTGCACACACGCCAACAGTATACACTGCCGACACGCAGAAGTGACGCGTACTTGACGTCACAGTCTCACCCAACACGTGCACTTGTTGTTGTTGTACACGCGCGAGGAGGCACGTGGGTCCCACCCCACGTGGGTCCACCCCAGTCAACATCGTGTGCCAACGTCGAGCCAACGTTGGCACACGGTTGGACCAACGTTTTTCATGTTTGCAGGGGACACACACGCGCACACACACATACAACATACGTCCACATACAAACATTCACATGGTAACATGCGCACGCATAGGTGCCATTGTGTAAATTACACAGTGGCAGACACACGCACTGGCATGCACACACCGGTAAAGTGACATGACGACGTTACAGCTGTAGAAACTGACGCAACACACACACACGAGGAAGCAGGCGTGTTCATTGTTACACACACACACTTCTGCACGTGAACACCTTGACACATTGAAACACGCGGACACACATACACGGCCACCTACACAAAACACACACACACTGAAAACAGCTCTCCTATACAACAACGCTGCCGCATACACCGACTCGCATGTATGCCACTCACCGTCGACACATACACACGAGCACAAAGACCCATTGCCACACACAATGCAGACTAAGCGCAGCTACTTACACACGTACATGTGCACACACAGCACCCAGATATACGAACAAGGAAACGGCCACGTAGATTCATAGTGTATTGTCTACACACAAATACATGAGCACAAATACTGACACACATACACACCCAAACACACACACACCGATCATAGCCGAGAGGAAGCAGCCGCGTCCATGCAGTAGTAACATATACACGTACATTTATACACACAGAGATACACAGATGTAGTCACAAAGCCACGGACTCCACACACACAAAGAGATCCTGTATATAGCCTGTAACAGTGTCGTGGCAAATACTGTTATCGAACATTTGATGCTGAGTCGACCTAGGGGAGGCCCAGGACCGGTTCAGATATTCGCCACTGATGTTGGCCGTGAGCGGGAGTCGAACCCGGGTGGCCGGGTGCGTAGCTTAGCGCGTTAACCGCTGCACCACCGCTCACCCCGTGTGCCACACACACACCACACGTTTAACACAGATATGCATGAGGAAACAGTCATACTGGCACACACAGTATACCCTCTAGGATGCATATCACCCATAGTCCTCACACTCAGAAAGATAGCCACAGACACACACACACTATGTATCACACACACACTTCCTAATACACACAGACAGCCACATATAACATGCTGGCCACAGACACAGACACACACTATGTATCACACACAGACAGCCACATATAACATGCTGGCCACACACACACACACTATGTATCACACACACACTTCCTAATACACACAGACAGCCACATATAACATGCTGGCCACAGACACACACACACACTATGTATCACACACAGACAGCCACATATAACATGCTGGCCACAGACACAATCTATGTATCACACACAGACAGCCACATATAACATGCTGCCACAGACACACTATGTATCACACACACACACTTCCTAATACACACAGACAGCCACATATAACATGCTGGCCACAGACACACACACACTACGTATCACACACAGACAGCCACATATAACATGCTGCCACACACACACACACACTATGTATCACACACACACTTCCTAATACACACAGACAGCCACATATAACATGCCACAGACTACACACACAAAGAAGCTCTGTATTGTCTTACAGACTGTCATGGGCAAGCGCTGATAGTGAGCACGTATGAATGTGTGTGCGT